ATTACTGGATTTACTGTAGTAATGACCCAGATAATTGTACTACTGACCTGTAGTTTCTACTGTACCATTTACCTAAAGTCAACAGCACAACTGAATTCTGTTTAAAATAATGACCTGAAAAATCAGCAGGTCTGCTTCCCGCACTTTCTTCTGCTCTTCAACCAGGTCTTTGGACAAACATCCTCTCTTGTAAGCTTCCCAGGTTTCCACACCATAATTGAACGCTTCTGAGTTGTGCAGGTGACCTGTGGGTAGAATTGAAAAGTCATTCCTTGGCCCCTGTGCAGTATCAGTGCCAGATAAGAGTTGAATGCAGGTTGCCATTCACAGTTCTAAACTGAGTTACTGCTTTCCATTTTTCCTACTTTTTGTCTTTGTTGGATATTCAGCATCAACCCAGCTGATGGCCACTTGATTTTAAAAAGGAGAGGAACATAGGATCTCAGAGTTCTAAAGCTTCATCTTCCTGTAGCAACACAGGAAGTGCAATATGAGGACCTAAGCTTGCCTCAGGACTCTGGGGATGCAGGTGGAAGATTTAAGAGAATGTTGTGAATTGTTCTGCCTCTGCCTTAGGGCTTGCTGAGGCCATCCTGCACTTGTAAGCTTAACTATGGAGCTGCTTTCCAGCCTCTATAACTGGGACATTCCCCAAGGGATGGGGGACCAGTATTGGGAATCAGCTCTACTGATTCCACTAGCAGATCATCAGTCTCTAGCAGAAGACAGGGGCAGTTGTAGCCTCGTGAACTAAACTGTAACTAAACTAAGTCCCAGAAGGGCATCTGAAGGCATTTCCTCTCCATGAGAAATGGTCTCTGGAGGCTGATTATGGACACGTGCTAATGTCTTTTTTTCCTGTCAGTAATTTCACTGTGATACAAAGTTCATGTTCAGGAGTGGACTTTTAGAAATGCAGATGTCTGGTCATGGATAAGTTTCTTATCAATGAATTTTGTTTCTTACTAATCTTTTGAGGATCTGATGGCTGGAGCACCTCTCCTATCAAAACAGAATGAGAGTTGGGGTTGTTCAGCATGGGGAAGATTTCAGGGAGACTTTTTTCAGTCTTCTGACACTTGAAGGGTGTCTTACAAGTCACTGTTTTTTGAGAGAGGCATATTTTGGCTGGGCTCACCAACAATGTCATTCCTTGTTGCTCTGGGCTCAAACTGCATGGCGTATAAATCCGACACGGTGACACTGCAGCCCTGCTTGGTCAGCTCTTCCACAGCAATCTTCAACAAAGATCCATTGAAGGACTTGGGCTCTTGATGTGCATACACTATCAGGACTTTTTTCCCTGGAGGCAGAAAGAAAACCAGGAGACCATTTGGAATCCGGGAGGCAGGTGCAGAACAGTTTGTAGAGTTGGGGCTCACTCCTTGCTCCTTCTGTGGTGTCTTTTCCCAAGGACACAGAAGCAGTGAAAGCAGTGACAGTGGCAGCATTTGACTCCTGCTCAGTAGCACTGAGTGGCCCCTGAGGCCCTGATTGCTGTATGTGCCCAGCGCAGCAATTCTGTGCTACACTGGGCTTTCCTAGGTGGAGCCCAGTGCATAGAGGGGGTGTTCCATATCAGGTCACGCTGCCCTACATCAGCACAATACAGCCCCGCCTATTGAATCAACAAGGAAAGAGGAATATTTTCTATGCCGTAGGAGTTGTTTATAGATAACCAGAGAGCCAAATTTATAGGGATTATTGGGACAAGGGACAAGGTTTGCAAAACATGCAGCTCCTATTTCCTGACTCCCAAGACAAACATTCAGGCATCTCCTGAGGTCATTTTCTCTGGGACACAGCTTCAGCCTGGAGCAGCACTTGCTGGGTAACAGGCAAGTTTCCAGTTTCAGGGAAAACTAGTAGAAGCAGAACTGAATATTCCATGAAACAACAGCACATTTTTAACTTAAATGATAAGAGGTAATTATTTCACGATGATGTACAGTGTCCATGAAACAAGAGTTCTGCAAAAAAAGAAAATTAAAACTTGCAGGTCAAATGCTATCATAAATTCAACATGTGTACAAACTTTTTGAACTCCTGTCAATATGTTATTCTGGAGTATAAGGAGCAGTTGCCTCTTTGCTGTCCCTACCAGCTCCTAGCAAACAGGGAGCTCTAGGGAGTGCCTGGAGATGGACAATCTCCCCAAGGTGCTCAGTTTGATTCTGCAAAGCTGCCTAATTTTTTCTGTTTTGGTGGAGCTGAGGGCACTTGGGCAAAGGGTTTGGAGAGACTGGAGTTTTCCAAGGCATCACTTACTAAGGTAATTTCAGACTTTTGGAAAAGTAAGACCTCAGTGTCCCAAAGGCACCCAGGGCTGGAGCGAGCAGCATTTTCGCCCGGATTTGCTCTTACCTGCCATTGCTGGGGAGCGCTGGGGAGCTTCACTCTTGATAATCTGTCACAGCCTGAGAACTCAAGTGAGAGATTGGCGGTGAGAAACATCCGGAACAGGTGCGAGGGGAATCTCCGGGTGCGCGGCGCCGCTCCCGGTCCCGGGCCGCCCTCCAGAGCGGCCCCGGCGCTCCGGCCCCGCCGGGCTGGCTGCCCTTACCTGCTCCTCGGGACCCGCAGCACACCTGCGGCCGGGCTGGGAGCGACCCTTCTTAAAATCACTGAGTATCCTGAGCTGGAGCGGACACACAAGGATCATCGAGTCCCTCTCTTCCCGGCGGCCCGACCAGGCAGACCCTGGGGCAGCGCCAAGTGCGGGGCGGGATCAGGATCGGCGCCGCCCGCAACCACGGCTCCGGCTTTTTTTCCCTCTGCACCTGGTTTCGTTTGATACCCCCACAGTTGTAGTTCTTGTACTGTGAGTGGCAGCGAAGGGTTAATCCGTGCTCTTCTCCCCTGTCCTCTGGTGATGTTGTGGACTTGCAGCATGTGCCGCCTGAACCACCTTTCTCCTGGTGGTTCTGTTTCCAGAAACCGTTCTGTACTTTCAATCCTTCTCAGTGCTCTTCTCTGTCCCTTTCCAGTTTTGCTGTATCATGTCTTGAAGCAAGGAAACCATCTCTATACATAGGTTTCACACTGTGGAGATGACTTGAATATACCTAGTAGTCTAATGATTTTCTGCTCTGCAGATGTAAAATTTGTGCTTTTTTGACTGCTATGGAGTGTTGAGCTGATGAGTGTGTGAAATTACCTGTTATAATTAGAAAATTTTACTCCCGTGTGGTGTTAGTCAGCTCATAGCCCTTTATTTTAAAAGTGAGGCCAATCTGGTTGGTTTGTCTCCCATAAGCATCTCGTAAGGTTCACAAAGACTGAAAATAACTTTCACTTGTCTAACCTCCTCAGCAGCATTCAGAACACTCTGCTGGTCTCAGTTCTCACAGAGGTTAGAAACAACCCTTCTGCTCTATGAACGACTTACCTATTGGAGGAATTTGGCACAGGTTTGTAGTTTAAATACTATTCTTCAGATATATTATGGGTACACGTCCCTACTGGTATCTAAAATACTTTTACTCTTGATTTGTAGCCCCAAACCATCTAAAGAAGATGAATAATTTTTATTCTCTGAAAATCTAATCAGGAAACTTGATTTTCTGTTGATTTTCTTGGGGCAGGCATTGGACACATGGAGAGGAAGGTGGAAATACTTTAAAATTTTTTTTCTTAATTGCTGCAGTATTTGCTTATTGGTCCATTTATTTAGAAATGTTATGAGTTGGATTTAATTCTGTCTTCAGCTTCAGAGAAACCAAACACCCATTCTTAAAGAATGACCCCCAAATCACACTGCAAGTTGTTTATTCTGGAGTGGGTACATGATCAGTTCTTGTTGAAGCTGTTTCACTGCAGAAAAATACTTTATGTTTTGGTGAAGGAAAAGAGAGAAAGTGGGCATCATTTTATTACTTAGGCACTGGGATGACCTTGGAACAGGAAAGTTCCAGTCTTTATGTCAAGAATTGCTGAAAATTTTAACATGCAATAGCAGTTGAGTGCTGTAGTGACCCACTGCAGAAGGTGAGGGTAACCCAGGTTCTTGTTGATAAATCCCTTGGGGAGGATTAGAGGGAAACAACACTGAATGATTGGTAAAGAAATGCTTCCTAATGTCCAGTCTGAACCTGCCCTGGTGCAGCTTTGAGCCATTCCTGCTGTCACTGGATCCAGGAGAGGAGAGCTCAGCACTTCCATCTAAACCACTCTGAAACAGACAGGTTTGTTGCTTCAAGGCAACAAAGAGTTGAGCCATAAACACAATCAAAGCCATTACAGATGCCACTGTAAAGTACAAGAACATGCAGCACTTAGGTTGATTGGTTTCTTCAGCAATTGAACTAAATGAAAGCTTCCCCCTCCCACTTTATCAGATGACACAGCACACAAGCGGGGCTGATGGGCAATAACTGTTGTATAAATTCGTCTGGAAATGCTAATACCGTATTTGTGTGTGTGTATGTGTGCATTTTCTTCTATACAAATTGTGTACTGTGGTTTAGAGTGTTAGGGACGGTCATCTTAGAAAATAAATTCATTAAGATAAATGAAATAGAATATAACAGCTCAGGAACGACTTTAATTATTCTTACGGCTTTTCCTAGGATTGATACGAAGTTTACTGTACACATTGTTTCGTCTTTGGAGTAGTTTATCAATGTTTTAAGGGACTGTGCATCTAAAGGATATTTGTTGTGCCCTCTAGCGCCCAGTGTGAGGTTTTACCTTTACAGCAGAAGCGAAGCCTCCACCGAGGACGAATCCCTAAGGCAAATTCCGTCCCAAAAAACCTGTTTTTATAATCTTTGCTGCCAGTGATAATAAATAGCAAGGAAAAAGGATGCTAACAAACGTTAATGTGAGAGAAATCCTATTTAAGATTAGTTTTCCGTGACTTTTGCAGAGAACAGAGCCACTGGGGGAACGGTTCTAAGCAGTGAGTACTGTGGTTCTGCACTGAAAAGGAAGAAAAAAGGAGAAACTGAAAAATAATATCCAACAGAAGATAGGTCTTTCCCGCCATACGTGTCACAATAACACTGTAGCTATTCGTAGGCTTGTTTTGTCATGTGATAAAGATGACAATCACTCTTGCATTGCTCTTTCTCCTTAGAGCAGAAAGGTTGATGGGCTTGTGCAACAGGAAGGAGGGAAGGAAGGAAGTAGAAGGACTGTGGGACTACCAGTCTCTCATTGTGACCTGTTTTCTTCTCTGTCTGTATGGTAATAATAAACAGAAATTGAAAATGGTCACCTCTGGGGTTAAGTCTGTCATACAGTCTCTAAATCAAAAGCAAACCAGGAACAGGGATAGTGTCCCAGAAAACATCTTTCATCAGTTGTTTAGCTTATTTTTAAACTTTGTGATGTTAAATATTTAACACTATGAAAGTATATAAATTAAATATATATCTAAGGCTTTTATCTGTTTGAAACTGAATTGCAGCTTCTGCTAGCAGATCATGTGTAAGAGGACTAGTTCAGTCAAATACAAATTTGTTACTTTCAAATTTGAAATCCCTTCTGTAATTTTAACTGAGGAGTCTGGCCTGAAATGCTCTTTTGATGAGAGGCTAAAGTTTCAAATCTGGCTATGAATTCATTCTTTGTCTGTAAAGCATGGCATATCTAGGATTTGTCTTTGCATCTGAATAATGAGACTCTTTGCTAAACGTGACTGTCTTTCTTTGCCCCATTTGTGATAGCAAAAGACAATAGGAAGTGTCTGCACTCTCCCTCAATTACTTGTGGAATAGTTAATGTAAATATAGAGTGAAAGTAATATTAACTGGTACTTAAAGAGGCAATGAATAAGCAGTTTAATTTCAGGACAGGGTACTTTATGGAGTATTTGAACTGAAAATGGCGATGTGTTAGCTATGATATAAAAAAACTTGAATACATCTGATCATAGTTTTCTGAGAAGGTATTTTAAAATCTGATGATATTTTACAGCTCTACCTATCTGACTTTGAACAACTTTGAAACACAGTTTTAAAAATTGTGATCTTTTTCAGGAGAGAGGTGAAGAAGGGACTAAGCAGATTTTCTATGCCAATAATTCTTCCCTTAGATGAAACAACAACTTGGGAGACCTGTTTCAATAGTCATTGCACATAAAAATTGCTTTCTATCCCTAATGTAAGATTCACATTTGGCTATTATGGAGAAAAGACCATACATCATATTGGCATTCTGTTTTCATATTCAAGATGATGCTTCTTTAGATTTGAAAAGTGATGCTGGAAAGAAGCACAGCTGCTGCCTGAAGTCTGTTATGGTGTGGGTAACAATCCTATACAGCTGATCAGCTGTAGAGAGGCAGCAGAACGTACACAAGGGGCTGCCTCTGGTGAGTCCAGTGACATGTGTGACATTATGTACTTCAGAAGCAACTAATTTTAGATATTCTTTCCAAAGGAGTTTTTACAGGTTCCTCTCACATGCCAGAGTACTAGTCTGAAACATCTGCTGACAGGTCGTTCTGTGCACCTGCAAACGCCATGGGGAGAAAAGCCAGGGAAATTAAGAGGGAGCACCCCTTTGCTCGGTGTGCCATGACCTCATGCTGGCATTTGTTATGGGATGTACCCATGATAGTAACTTGGTGATTGCTTTCCAGTTACTGTTGAGCCTTTCATTGACTTGGAATCAAGCTATGGTATGAGATCAAGTCCTGTACAGGAACACACCACCCCATGAGCTGAGTGCTAGCCATCCTGGTAAAAAAGCCATCAAAGGAAAATTGCTTTAACACATAGTGCCCTGCCCAGGCTCAGAATTAACAACCTGGCACTGGAAATTGTCACAGCTCAGTGACAATCGGCTTCAAAACAAATCCAGCTATTTAGTCAGAGTTCAGAGGAATAATGTTATGCAGAGGCCATAATTCGGGGGGGAGGACCCTCTGAATTTCCACCAAAACCCGACTGTCTAAGGCTTCAATAGGAGCAAAGCAACTTTTCAGTCTTTAGTGCCCTGACACCAACTAATCGAGCCTGTTGTGAGCGACAGAATAGTCAGGAGGGCGCTTGCCCTGCCGAACCCCAGCTGGGGGTGCTGGAGAGCCGAGAACGGCGCCGTGAGATGCTTTAAACTCCTTGAGCCGCGCAGCGCATCAGAGCCACCCCCCATACCAGTGTGTTTTCTCCCTTGTCCGGGGAGTTGCAAAACAAATAGGGAGTTAATAAAAATCTTGCTTGTGTTTGCCACCCAGCAGGTGTGGCTCTGCTGAGCAGCTGTTTTGTTGCTTCCACCATCCTTTCTTGGTTTGTTTTATGTGTCAGGTAAAGAATCTAGATACCTTGGGTTTCACCCGTACATTTAATAGTTTATTCATAGAACAGATATTGTTATCATAGTACTTGATACAAATTGAGGGTAATGATTAATGTTTGGTGGGTAGGCAAACTGATGCTTAGAGACAAAGGGAGGCTCAACAAAAAGATAAAAT